ATGGTCCCTTTAGCTGTGGTCCGTAAGTGAGCGAGGAGAAGAGGCGGCGGTAGAGAGAGAGGGACCTTCACCTGGCGCATCCTGTCGCTCATCTGCATTTCTCTCATTTCGATCGTCGTGAGGCAAAGGTCCTCGTTGATGAATACTTTCGTTTCCTTAAATGAGTGGCATTTGAAGAAGACATCATTCGGATCCAAGTTGCGTTAGCTGGGGAGAGGTATTTTTGGTGTGGATTTGTTGCAGGAGGGCAGCGGTCATTATAATTTGTTAGATAGAAGTCAATATATTTCAGTTATGGTGTAATATATTTGGTTAATGTCGAGTAATTATAGCTTTATTGATAATGAAAAGTATATACTCACCAATGTATTTAAACAGTGTAGAAGGCTTATGCAAGTTTGATTGTGACTTTTCCAGGAGCGCAGTCGCATATCATCCAGATCGCCGCCGTGGGGCCCGACAGCTCCTACAGCACCTACGTCAAGCCGGGTATCTCCATCGGCGCGAGGGCCACGGCGGTGACGGGCATCTCGCTGAACAGAGACCTCTTATGGCACCACGGACGCGTCGTGGAGGGTCTACCGATAAGGGGTGCACTGAAGGGCTTCTTCGATTTCTTGGGCCCGGGCCAAGTCCTCCTGGTCGGCCATAACTCAAAGTCGTTCGACAGCCGTGTGCTGATCACGGCTGCCACCAACACGGGAATGATCGACGATCTGAAAAGGCGAACTCTCGGATTCCTCGACACGCTGCCGCTTTTTCGCAAGCTGTTCCCACGCAGGAAGAGTCACACACTGGGAAATCTCCACAAGAGTCTCATTGGCGGGAAGTTCGCGGCCCACAATGCCCTGGAAGACACTCTCGCACTCCAGAGGCTAGTGGAAAAGGTGAGCCCGGACCCAGAGACCATGGCAAATTACACCTTCGATGTCGAGTACGTGGAGGCGGCATTGGCTTACCTGTACATGAGGAAGGAAAATATGGAGACTCTTTATCCTATTGAGAATGTAAACGTGAAACGAAACATGTTAGAAAAGATTGCTGCAAGTGGCCTGAAGATGGAGCATCTTCAAGCGGCCTACAGAAGCGACCGAGAGAACGGGATTCGAGAGCTCTTTGCACAGCCATTGGCCGACGGGAAGGCCAGGGTTACAAAGGTAAAACGAATTGTTGATAGTGTCGTTTTGTTCTTCGAAAACGCCGCGGTTTAACCCTCTTTCCTAATGCTGCTTTTGGAACTGTTCGTCCATAGCAAATAAGTCGTTTGGAGCCTCGTCCAGCGGGTCCGGACAAGTCAACTCAAACTTTCAAAGAGCAAATTGAGATTTCAGAGTGTATAATTGCAAAGATTTTAGATTTTAGCTGAATAATAATAAGAACATAGATATGTGAGATTTATAAGACACTAGGCTAGAAATATTTATTATACGTTGGTGTCACTGGTTGATGGACATTCATCAACATGAACCCAATGCACGAAAACCATTTGTTGCATTTAATTTCTTTAGTATTTAATTACATATCAGCTCAATTTTTAACGTTGGGAAATCTATCGATGCTCAATATCAGTCAGTAAAACAGGCCTTCAGTAGTATTACAGACCATTTCTTTCTGAAAGCTATGTGCACAAGTTTTTTTTAACCACATGAGTGACCAGGAAAAGCAACACAGAGCAGGTAGGACGATCTCTCCCCACCAGTGACATATTTTTAGGATATAATGACCTTAAAGATTTAGGAATTAAGACAAAATCTCGGAGGATAGAGTTGTGATTTTCTGAAACCAAACAAGAAGCCCCATCATCAGACCGGTCGACGTGGGACAGTGTGACCCAGGGAACTTCCAGCCAATCATGTCATATCTTTTTTATATAATTTTCAGCAAGGACCCCCTCCTCCCTCCAGAGTGTATTAAGCAGAAAGCTCAAAATTATGACGCTGGTCTCAGGATCTCCAAGGTTTTAAGCAGTGGGCCGTTCTTAACTGGAGGTGCGACGTTGGGGCGTTATGCACGAAAGGTCTTAGACTCTGCAATTTGTCTTACACAAAAACTCTACGACTTGCCCTGTCGCCACGTCTCAAAGTTAATGCTGGTAGTGAAATAAATATTTACTTCATTATAGACTCTGTGAAGATAACTTATTGCAGTAATATGTCAAAACTACATACTGCAATAAATCTTACTTCTATGATGGCAATATTATTTCACATTTTACATATTCAACTAAAATATGGTCAGCCGTAGGTTTGTTGTCATTGCAAGTGTCCCACGCGCGTAAGGACTGTCTGTAAAACAATAAAGCAATTTTACACAAAGTTGAAGATAATTCTGCATCGAATATAGTAAAAAAAAAATCTTAGAAGACCCTTTTGCTTTACTGCCAAACATTGATTTAGTCGTTTCTTATATTTTATTGACGCACGTCCACAAAGACTCTTATAATTTTGTCCTAACATGTAAGAACTCGTTAAATTGCCCTCATGAGAGAGAGAGAGAGAGAGAGAGATGAGATGAGATACAAAGATGTATATCTATCTATCTATTTATCTATCTATCTATCTATCTATCTATCTATCTATCTATCTATCTATATATAGAGAGAGAGTTTCCTCGAAGATTATTCCGTTTTGGGAATAATAAGAAAAGCCTCGAGGCCTCTTTTAATAAATTATCAAACGTTAAACAAGCCGTCTCCTGCATTTTTATATCATTAAAAAGATACAAATAGCGGCGCCCGCCTTTACAGCTGATGCGAAGACCATAAGCTGTACTTGTTGTGTAATATTACCATTATGATAAAAGCAAGATGTATTGCTATATTTACCTTATGGGGTTATTGTAATAGATTATCAAAGTTTATTACGATAAATATGTGTTCTAGTACCAGTATTAACTTTGAGATGTAGCAAAGGGGAAATCATAGACTTTTTTTTTTTGTCTGAGACAAATTTCATAAATAACGCCCTTGGTCCCTAGGGTGCGCGTGGGCTTTGAAAGATTATACAACGCATGTATACGCATGTTATTTTTGTCACACAAACAGAAAAAAAAGTCAGTTTTGTCAATAAAGATTAAGAAAAACCAACGCGTGTAATTCAGTGCTAAGAACCACTGGTCTAAGATAGTGACAGATTCTAGCTGCAACCATTATACGACATTTTACATTGATTTTTAGTCAGTGAAGGATGCCATTGTCAAAGGGGCTTCTGTCATGAGAATATAATTAATATTAAAGCATAGATGTGTTCAGGTGTCTTTGTATTCTTAGACACACAAGAATAGGAAAATATGCATGATTCCTTTAGGGAATCATGACTCCATTCCAATTATATTCATAAAGAGTCATACAACTCTCAAATGTGAATTAGACATGTGTCATTGTTTTGTAAAATTCTTAGACAAGATTGTCTTTACATGCAAAAAGTTTTTTTCTATATTATGTTAAGGTGTATAGCTTATTGTACTGTAAAGTACTCTCGTGTTTATACTAAGTTATCATATTTTTACATATATTCCAAATGTATTATAAGTCTGAAGCATTTGGATTCGTATTTTGAAGTGTTTTGTTTCAAGCTTATCAAAAACTTGCTGATTTACCAAATAAAATTAATGAAGACTATCTCGTGATGTTTAGAAGGATTTTACTGAAACTGATTCATTCACTAAAATCATGCTCTCGACCATTAACCAAACGACAAAGTTTGTTTTTCTTGACTATCTATCTATCTATCTATATAGAGAGAGAGAGTTTCCTCGAAGATTATTCCGTTTTGGGAATAATAAGAAAAGCCTCGAGGCCTCTTTTAATAAATTATCAAACGTTAAACAAGCCGTCTCCTGCATTTTTATATCATTAAAAAGATACAAATAGCGGCGCCCGCCTTTACAGCTGATGCGAAGACCATAAGCTGTACTTGTTGTGTAATATTACCATTATGATAAAAGCAAGATGTATTGCTATATTTACCTTATGGGGTTATTGTAATAGATTATCAAAGTTTATTACGATAAATATGTGTTCTAGTACCAGTATTAACTTTGAGATGTAGCAAAGGGGATATCATAGACTTTTTTTTTTTGTCTGAGACAAATTTCATAAATAACGCCCCTGGTCCCTAGGGTGCGCGTGGGCTTTGAAAGATTATACAACGCATGTATACGCATGTTATTTTTGTCACACAAACAGAAAAAAAAGTCAGTTTTGTCAATAAAGATTAAGAAAAACCAACGCGTGTAATTCAGTGCTAAGAACCACTGGTCTAAGATAGTGACAGATTCTAGCTGCAACCATTATACGACATTTTACATTGATTTTTAGTCAGTGAAGGATGCCATTGTCAAAGGGGCTTCTGTCATGAGAATATAATTAATATTAAAGCATAGATGTGTTCAGGTGTCTTTGTATTCTTAGACACACAAGAATAGGAAAATATGCATGATTCCTTTAGGGAATCATGACTCCATTCCAATTATATTCATAGAGTCATACAACTCTCAAATGTGAATTAGACATGTGTCATTGTTTTGTAAAATTCTTAGACAAGATTGTCTTTACATGCAAAAAGTTTTTTTCTATATTATGTTAAGGTGTATAGCTTATTGTACTGTAAAGTACTCTCGTGTTTATACTAAGTTATCATATTTTTACATATATTCCAAATGTATTATAAGTCTGAAGCATTTGGATTCGTATTTTGAAGTGTTTTGTTTCAAGCTTATCAAAAACTTGCTGATTTACCAAATAAAATTAATGAAGACTATCTCGTGATGTTTAGAAGGATTTTACTGAAACTGATTCATTCACTAAAATCATGCTCTCGACCATTAACCAAACGACAAAGTTTGTTTTTCTTGAATATCACAGCATTGATGTTAACCATCAATAATCGGCGCGAATTAAATATCTATCTATCTTCACAACCACATGCGACTCAGACACGGAATAAACCAAAAGCAAACAGCCCCTTTTGTATATAAATTAAAAAAAAAGATGCTTGATACAAATACGCTGGCTGTCTCGCAGTTATGTCAGGTGAAGTTGCTAAGTAGAAATTAATCGTGTAAATAATTTTTGGCTGTTTTAATGACACCACAAATTATTCATAAAAGAGTGTAATCTTCCTTTTCATTTATCTGTACTATTCCGTGCAGGAAAGAGTGTGCACATGCCAGCTAGAATCATAATAGTGTGCACTATTTGTTATTGTTCCAGTATTGTCCTTATTTTCATTTTGTTTAGTTTTCTATATATTTTCTGTTCTTATGTAATAATTCATCTTTATCTTACAAGTGTTATTCCGAAAAAAATATTTTTGCCTCTTGTAACATTAGAGGAGGTATTAGAAGACAATAATTTCACTCACCTTCATGATTTCCTCAGAAAGCTTTGCGAAGCCAACAAAGACATTCCCAATTTTACTTGTAGTGTATTCGCCCACGCTCTCATTTCGCGGTATGGCAAGTCCACGGTACTAGTCTTTATTTAATGAACCCAATGGACAGTGGGCACCGAGAAAAAATATCGGTATTTTCATGTTGAATTTTATTATCCTTTCATGTATTACGCATTGCTGTTAACACAAATCGTTAACAGGAAATGCGTGGTGCCGCACGGGGCATACTTGCTGAAGAATAATTATTTCTTCCACTTACATATCCGATGTGCATGGAGGCTAGGTGGTACTTGCATCAGATTAATTAATGCATAAGGAAGGTGCAGATCAGGTCTCAAAGGGACGCTGACCTGGAATTGTCACTGTATCAGACGTAATGTAGCAGTACTATATTATTGTTCTGGTATACCACACAGAGCAAAAAATCTCTATAATAAATACTAGTCTACATCATATTTATCCGCAATATCTACAGGTGATCCACTGTTCCCTACAACACGTTAAGCTGTTGCTTTCAAATATAATGGCTCCAGCATCATGAGCTTGTGACAATATTTTGCCTGTTTCCTGTCAATTTATTCAGGTCAATGAATAAATTGATAAAACTGACTGATAAAACTTTTGACGCCCAAAAAACGTTTGTTATTCGATGAAATAAATATTCACCCATCGTTCAATCCTAAAACGTTAGGGCCACCTTATTCCTGACTTTTATTGCTATTATATGAACCTGAGATGCTGATATACTTATACTGAGTTATTGACGGTATTGTAATTACCGCTTTGGGTCATAATATAGTTTGAATTGTGCGGCAACCTTTCAGCGTTTTTTTTTTTTTTTTTTTTTTTTTTTTTTACACAAATATACCAGGGAAATTACATTTAAGAAATTTATTATCGTAACCAGTTTTCACTTTCACTCCACTATATTAAGAAACTGTTTGATAATGTGTGTAAGAAAATGTGTATAAAA